CGAGTCAACTTAGCCTTTTATAGATATAGAATAAACTTGCTTAATCTCCTTTCTGATTTAGCTGAACTTTCTCCAGCCCAGTGAAGCACCCCAACTTCTCTTTCAGGTAATTGTCAGCAACACAGTAGTAAATATCAAGCAGATTATTATTGTAGATCATGCAGGGAGAACAAAGGGTAAAATATTAAACTGCAGCAGTGTTTGACTATATTCTGTGCAGTGAGAAAACCTGAAGTCATTTTCAAGGTTCACCATTTCTTACTTCTTTTCAGTCGGATCAAGTTTCTAAGCTTTCTAAATCTCCGTTTTCTGGCTAATGAAAAGAAAATAGGATTCCACCGAGTCTCCTATCTACCTACTCCATGACTTCTGTGAGGATCAAATGAGATGAGGGAAAATGCTTCACAGATATTTGGTTACAGTGTGAAATGTTTGCACCTGGCTATAAAGCAAGTCATGGTCCTGGGCTGAAGAAACTGCAAGGAGGCTAGTTGTCACTAGGGAGAGGAAGTTGGGCGTTGCTATGTGATATCAGTAGTGGGATAGTGGGATACTTAGCATATTAGCCTTATATATAGAGAGATATTAACTATTTACTAAAATGTCTTCCTAAGGCATAGATCTGAAACTGCAAGGAGGCTAGTTGTCACTAGGGAGAGGAAGTTGGGCGTTGCTATGTGATATCAGTACCTGGACAGTGGGACACTTAGCATATTAGCCTTATATATAGAGAGATATTAACTATTTACTACAATGTCTTCCTAAGGCATGTTTTCATAGATCTGTGAATCATAGTTCTTATGAAGTGCTTATGTTATAATCTTAACATCTAGATGACGTTTGAACCTCTGTACTTTTTTGTTTTATTTTTATTTCCTCTGTTGTGTGGGAATCAATCTCATGTTCTGACACCTGGTAATTTATAATTGAACCCTAACCATTGCTTCAAAATATGGCAGTCATTCCCATGTCTGGACAACGACGCTTCCTCCAGAGACGGTTTACCTTGCGTATTTCAGACTCACGCCCGAGCCCAGCACTGGGACTGCGCACGGTTTAAGCTGGATTAAACCCGGTGTCTTTTTGGAGACTGGCCTGGCTCAGCTAGGCCTTCCACCTCGGGTGCAACCTTCAGGTTCTGCCGTGCTAACCAGACTCCTGCCCGGCCCTGCCCTCCACCTGCCAGGCCTGCCCGCCCTGGGACCCCAGAAGGTTTACAGTCTCTCCATCCTCACAGGCCCTCCTGCCTCTTCCTCAGCCGCCAGCGCTGCCCTGCGCAGGGATCAGCAGATGCCGGGAGGGAAGAGAATGGCACCAGGGACAGTCTCCTTGCAGCGTTTCCCTTTCAGTCTGAGATTTTGTTTCCTTCAATCGTGGTTTTCCTGGTAACTTCCCGAAACCTCCGAGGGATTTCATGCATTTTTCCAGCTCCTCCAGCTGCTGCCTTCAGTCGAGCTGGTCTGACACCAGCTGGTCCATCACAACCAAAGCCAAGTCCAAGTGGGCAGTCCTGTGAGGTTAGAGCCTGCGCCACAGGAATCGGGCAAGAAGTAACTCAGCTCACCCTGGCACCGCTTCCTTCCTGGCTACGTGGTGTGGACTGTTTCCACCTCTCCTCGGGAGGACGTGTTTCAGGCCGGCATTGTCCTTGCTCAGAAACATCTTCCCGATTTATTCCCAAGTGACCAGGACTTTCCGTGCTCACCCAACAACGCAGGACGGCCGGCTCTGCTCCTGCGCCCCACGGAGATGCCTCAAAGCCTTGCGGAGGACGCGGCAGCTTTCGCTCGCTGTCTGCTCCCTTCATACTGCCCACGGTTTCCATGTCCCACTTTAATTACTTCCATCACTAGTCTCTCCAGCACTAGAACATATAGGCATCTAAGGCCGAGCTGTCTCATTTGCCCTCATTTCTGACATGGAGTTGAAGCTAAACATGTTTACTGAGCGAATAAATAACTGAATTCCTTACAACTCCACCGCTAACTTGTAACTCACTGAACATGCCCAGTCTGGTTCTGGGAAACGAGGCAGTGAGGACATGAGTGGACATGGAAGGGGACATGAGAGGGACCCTAGCCAAGGGCCTGAGGCCAGCACCGCCCCCTCCTGATCTGATTTAATTCTTGGGCCCGGGTTCGGGGTCTGCTGTATGTTCTGCAGGTCCTTCTCAGGCGTTCATCCTTTTACCTTAGTGGGTTTGAATGTGCGCTATTACAATTAAATGAGGTGAGTATTAAACTACTCCACCGCTTTTTAAATTCTGTTATTCCAAGCAGCTTGTATGCATTTTCAAGATAGGAAGCTACATCATGATTTTTTATTAATACGATTTTTAAATAGACTATATAAGATTGGTACGTAGTTTTACTGATGTCATGCAGAGTGTTTTGAAATTGACATCTTTACCTCAAAAATGTTAGTGGACGCTTCATATTGTCCAATATTGAAAAAGGAGAGAATACGGAGATTACATAAGCCTGCGGAGGAAGAATGAACAGGACAGCTTGCTAGCTGAGTGGGTCGGCATGAAGTGCCATGGTCCCACATTTACTATATATTCATATTTATAAACATGTTATTTAGAATGCTTATGGAGCTAGTAAAAAAGAGCTAAGTAGAAGGGTAATGTTATTTATTGTTAAAAGAAGCAAGCTACTCAGTGATGGTCAGCAGGACTCGGGCTCTTTCTGTCTCTCCTCACAGGTGCCCAGGGTGTTGGCCTGAGTCCCCAGCCCTGTCTTTTCATGTTTCCGCGACGCTGCTGTGGACCCGGGGGTGAAGCTCAGCCTCGTCCAAAACACAGAGGGCAGTGCCCTTCCTGGGTTGCTTTTAAGATCTGAAATCTAGATTTTCCCCCAAACTCCCCACCCCTCACACTTCCTCTTAAATCCCATTGCTAAAGTTTCTGGTGAGTTCTAACAATGGCCAAGCAGAGGGGATATTCCCTCTATCCTCAAATGTGTCATTTGGATGAAAAATTATGACAACTTTAGGTTTGGTCACAGGCTTATGCCTTAGGACAGCCGTGGGCAAACTACGGCCCGCGGGCCGGATCCGGCCCGTTTGAAATGAATAAAACTAAAAAAAAAAAAGACCGTACCCTTTTATGTAATGATGTTTACTTTGAATTTATATTAGTTCACACAAACACTCCATCCATGCTTTTGTTCCAGCCCTCCGGTCCAGTTTAAGAACCCATTGTGGCCCTCGAGTCAAAAAGTTTGCCCACCCCTGCCTTAGGAACATAGAGACCTGAAACAAAAAAACACCCAAATACCTGGTATTTTTAGCCTCTGTTATGAAACGTGAGTCTGGCCAGGGATAAGGACATGGCTTCGGGGTAGATAACCACTAATGTCTGCCACATGTTAAGTTTTAAACAATTTCCAGTTTCTGATGATGAAGTTAGACATTATGCAAAGTAGATTAAGTGATTATACTAAAATTCTCTGTGATGATTTAGGTGTCTTTGAATATGAATTTAGGAAGAAGTATCAATGAATCATTTTATAATTAGTGGAAATTCAAATTCATCTTCTATATCAAAATATTGATAAAGAGAAGACTAGCAACTTTTCTACCTTTTGCCTATTTTTATTACTTTGTTATTTATTTATTTGTTATTTTAAAATATTTTTATTGATTTCAGAGAGGAAGAGAGAGGGAGAGAGATAGAAACATCAATGATGAGAGAGAACCATTGATTGGCTTCCTCTTGCACGCCCCTTACTAGAGACTGAGCCCGCAACCCGGGCATGTGCCCTTGAGCAGAATCAAACCCAGGACCCTTCAGTCCGCAGGCGGCTAGGGCTATTTTTAAAATATTTATTGTTGAAAGTATTACATAGATCTCCCTTTTTTCCTCATTGACCTCTTCCAGCCCACTCCCGTCCCCCCCACCAGATCCCCACCACTCCATTATCTGTGTCCATGGGTTATGCATATATGCATACAAGTTCATTGGTTGATTTCTTCCCACCCACTCTTCCCTGACTTCCCTTTGAGGTTCAACAGTCTGTTTATGCTTCTATGTCTCTGGTCTATTTTGTTAGTTTATTTTGTTCATTAGATTACACAAATGAGTGAGATCATGTGATATTTTTCTTTCTCTGACTGGCTGATTTCACTTAGCATAATACTCTCCAGGTCCATCCATGCTGTTGCAAATGATAAGAGTTTTCTTTTTTATTTCTGTGTAGTATTGATGAGATTCTGAATATTTTCTTTGGCTTTCCTCTAGAATTAGATCCAGTGACCCAGAAACTTATGCTCCAAACAGCTAAACCAACTTTTGGTCATCTCACAGATGTAAGTAAAATGTTCAAATTATAGTAAGTATCACATTCATGGCAATTAAATGCAAGCCTCTATTATGTTTTAATTTTATTAGCAATACAATAATATTATCCACTCTCTAGAATATAGTGGAATAGGATACTTGTAAAAAGTTCGTACAATGGCCCTAGCCAGTTTTGCTCAGTGGGTAGAGCGGCCTGAGGACCAAAGAGTTCCGGGTTTTATTCCAGTTAAGGGCACGTATTTCAGTTGCAGGCTCCTTCCCGGTCTGGGCCCTGGTCAGGGCATATGCAGGAGGCTAACCAATTGATGTGTTTCTCTCACATCTGCTTTTCTCTCTCTCTTCCACTCTCTCTAAAAATCAATGGAAAAATATCCTCTGGCAAGGATTAAAAAAAAAAAAAAAAAGAAAAGTTCTTACAATGATCCGTCTACCTATATTTGTGTTTTAATGTTACTTACAGTAATATTTTTGGTAACATGGAGATTTGTAATAGACTACAAAAACTTTCATAGCCCGTCTCAACAAAAGTATACCATGTAATCAGCCTTACATAGAAGAGTTCCATCTAGTTTTCTCTTCTAGGACTGCTATAGTTTTAGATCTTATGTCTTAGTCTTTAATCCATTTTGAGTTGATTTTTGTGTATGGTGTGGGATAAGAGTCCAATTTCGTTCTTTTACATGCTGGCAATATGTGCAACATGGTGGAGCCTTGAGGACCTTACACTAAATAAAATAAGCTAGTCATATAAAGACAAATAGTGCATGACCCCACTTATATGAGGTGTATGAACTAAGCTCATGGAAGAAAAGAATAGAACTGTGCTGCGAGGGGCTGGAGGAGAGGAAATGGTAAAATCTCAGCAAGGAGGAAGACTGTGTTCCAGAGGTCTCTGTGCAGCCTCGTGTCTGTGGATAACGGCACAGTATTGTACACAGAAATCTGTTATGAGGGTTAAGTGTTTTTACCACAAAAAAACAACAAAATCTTACATTTTTAAGAACAGTATAAACATTTAAATAGGTATTTACTTGTACACAGAAATCTGTTATGAGGGTTAAGTGTTTTTTACCACAAAAAAACAACAAAATCTTACATCTTTAAGAACAGTATAAACATTTAAATAGGTATTTAAAAGCTGTGAATCACTTTTTCGTTTTAGCACGTCCTTTTTATGTTAGTAAAATATTTCTCATAGTTGCAATAAATATACCTTATGCCAATTCCAATAAAACATATTCATATCATGCTGTAGAATGCATAGAGGACCATCATGAATGAGATCATGTTGGCATATTTAGTAAGTTCATGCTAAAATAGTGAATGACTTGAACAAGAAATGTGAAGAAAATCTTGAACAAGTTTACAGTATAATAAAGAACATGAAGAAAGTTCAAATCACTCACATTCCAGAAGACCGGGGAAGGCCAGAGGGCCCGGTGGGATGACTCTACATGGGAAAGGAAGGCGGGGCCCAGGGCCGCGAGCCTGGGGTGGGCGATTGTAAAGGTGGCGCCGTGATGTGTGATATGACCAAGTCCAAGGAAAGAGGAAATGGGCTGACAGTTTATTCAAACAGGGTCTTTCAGGACCAGAACCCTGAAGGTTTGCAGAGTGGTGCTGGGTGCCAGCCCTCCCGTGTCCCCCACAAACTCTCCGTGAGATCCACAGGGGCCACGCTCAGGCTCTCGGTGCTTTTTCATGGTGGAGCCTGAACTCCTGCTGAGTCCCTCATGCAGAGCAACGCGTGGCACGAGAAGTCCCCGCGGGGACGGCATCTGGGTTGTGTTTTGAGAACTCGCCTGGGATTCGTGCGGGAAGGGGCAGGCCTCAGCCCAAATGGGTGAACTCATCCTGAGGAGCCCGAGACCAGAGCCTTTCCTCCCTGCGGGAGCCGAGGACACAAGCCCAGCAGCTGCTGGCATGTGGCTTCCTAGAAGAGGGACGTTTTGAGACAAGCATTTGCCAAGTGCACGTTTAATACTGAGCGACGCCAGGAGGGCTCACTGTGGTGAGTGAGGGATGAGAAATGTTATTCTGAGCTTGGACGCTGGTGATGGATACGGGAGTGACCCAATAGGAAGCCACTTTCTTAAGCTACTGAACGCTGCCAGGATGACTCCAGGTTCATAGGTCAACACTTAACCACTGAGCCAGGCCGGCTGGACCATGATTATTAGAATTTTAAACAAAGCCAAACTCTTGAGCATGAATCCTCACAGGACCAGCTTCTGAGTTCACCTCCCCACTACCTGCTCAAAGTGTGCTTAGTTCTCCTGTGTTTACTGCTAAAAACTCTACTGTTTTACCTTTCACAATTAATCTACATTGATCTAGAATTGACTTTGTGCATAAAGTGAATTAAGGTCAAGTGTTTTTTTTCCTTGTGTTTATCCAATTTCCTAACACCATGTATCAAAACAACCATCCTGCACCCAGTCATCTGCATTGCCACCATAGCTATAAATCACTGACTACAAATGTGTTCTAGTCATGTATTCTCTATGTTTTAATATAGGCCCACTGTCTATCCCTGAAACAATGGCTTAATTTTTGAGGATTACATATAAATTTTTATTTGTTTGTAGAATAAATCATTAGATTGCTTTGCCCATTACCCTTCTGTTTGAATTTCCATTAAATTTTACAATAAAGTTAAGTCACCAATATCCACAAAATAACCTCCTAGACTTTGAGGTGTTCTATTTGTCTTTGCTTTTCAGCAGTTTTATTTTAATGCACCTACCTTTGGTTTTGGTTTTATTTCTATTTATTCTGTTTAGGTTTTAGAGCTTATTGAACTTATGGGTTTATATCTTTCATTAGTTGTAGGAAATTCTCAGGCAGGATTTTTCCAAATGATCCTGCCCCATTCTTTTCCCTCTTCATCTCGGACTCCCTTTAAATATGTGAGAACTGTTCACGCTATGTGTCCTTTCTCTTGCAGCTCCTTCATCATGTTGAGATTATGTCCCCTCCTTACCACTTTGTGGAAAGTTATCATAAATGGATATTGAATTCTGTCAAATGCTCTTTCTGCAATGATTCAGGTGACCCTATGATTGTTACCCCTCATTTTGTTAACGTGGTGTATCACATTGACTGATTTGTGGATGTTGAACCATCCTTGAAAACATGGAATAAATTTTACTAGATTATGGTGTGTGATCTTTGAATGTATTGTTGAATTTGTTTTGCTAATATTTTGTGGAGGATTTGTGCATTTATGTTCCTCAGGAATACTGGCCTGTAATTTTCTTTTTGTGTGGCATCCTTGCTGTTCTGTTATCAGGGCCTTGTAAAATATGTTTGGAAGTGTTCCCTCCTCTTCTATTTTTTTTGAAAAGTAATGACATTAATTACTTAAAATGGCATTAATTAATTAAAAGTAATGGCTTAATGTATAGTAGAATTCACCAGGGAAGCCATCCAGGCCTGGAATTTGTTCATTGGGAGGTTTTTGATTACTGATCTTTTTAATAGTAATTGATCAAATCAATTTTTTATTTCATTGCGTAGAATTCACCAGGGAAGCCATCCAGGCCTGGAATTTTGTTCATTGGGAGGTTTTTGATTACTGATCTTCTTAATAGTAATTGATCAAATCAATTTTTTATTTCATCGTGATTCAATCTTAGTAGGTTGTACATTTCTAGAAATGTATCCATTTCTTCTAGGCTGTAAGATTTGTTGGTTTAATATCACTCATAGTAGTCTTTTATAATCCTGTATTTCTGAGATATCAATTGTTAACATCTCTTATTTTTTACTTATTTGAGTTTTCTCTTTTTTTTCTTGATGATTCTAGCTGAAGGTTTGCCAATTTTGCTTATCTTTTCAAATAACCAGCTTTTAGTTTTATTGATCTTTTCTGTCTCTATTTCATTTATTACAATCTCTGATCTTTGTTATTTTTCTTCTTCTACTAATTTTGGGCTTCATCTGATCTTTTCCTAATTTCTTGAAGTGTAAAAGTATAAAGTTAGGTTGCTTATTTGAGATTTTTCTTGTTTATTACGTAGGCTTTAAGTGGCATCTATCTCAAAACATTTTTTAAACTGTTCTTTGGTCTTGAAATAAAAGCCAAATTACTTTTTAAAATCCCAATTTAGGTTGCCCCTCAGGTATGTGTGTTCCTCACCAACGCCATTACCTTTCCACGATGGGACTCTGTATTAGTCCTACTCACACCTCCAGCAGTTGGTTTTATATATCAAACAAGAAAAAATAAAGTAGCAATATTACAAAAAGCTCTCAGAAAGGGTAACGTGGAACTAGTTGTCACTTATTCTACCTAACGTGAGAGCCAGTGACAAATGTCCAAAACAGTTATTTTGGTTAGCACTTTGCTCTGATCTGTAACTTTACAAACTATCCTTTAGGTGAGAAAATGGGGCCAACAATTATCAATTAAAAAATGTTTGAAAGTGGAATTGGATCCTCTTTCTTCTCTGGTCCACATGTCCATGAGCTCTTGTGTGCACACAGGACAGCGCTGATGTGAAGTGAAAGCATGAAGCCTGCCGCCCAGACACGTGGCAGCGCCAGCCACTGCTTATGTGATAGTCGTGTGCGTCCAATTATGTTCTGGTCATAGCACAGCGTGCTTTGAGGATGTTATTACTAGAAATGTCAGAACACTCTGACTGTATTTAAATGTAAGAATGTAGGTGTGGATGTAATTTCTAATATTCTTCAGTAAATTCTGGCTCTATTCCCCGGAATAGACCTTTTCCTGAATGAGTACGTTCTTTTCATTTCCAGGACACTGTGAGCCATTCAGTGAGTCACTGACCCTCCCTTGTGTTGACTATTAGAAAGCTTTGGGCTAAATTCGTGTCCATCGATAGCAGGTGGGCAGGAACGTTTGGAATGAGTGAACTGCACTCATCTCACGTCTGCTCATCTATTTTTCCTACCCTCATTTTCCCTCTCGAGCAATTTCCACTCAGTCTTGATTTCTTTATTTTGTAGTGTTGTATATATTTTTATAAGGAAATCTTTTTTA